AATCTTAGTGAGGTTTCATCGAAACCAAAATATTTGAGTTTGGCACAAAGAAGCTGATGATCTATAGTGTCAAACGCTTTAGAAAAGTCAAGCAGAGTAACTATTGTAGCTTTTCCTTCATCCATTGATCTTATAATGTTATCTGTTAAATCTAAGAGTAATGTTGTAGTACTAAACCCCTTTCGAAAACCTGATTGTTTAGTGGTTACAATATTATGAGAAAATACGTATGTATATATTTGTTTACTAATTACTTTTTCTATAATTTTGGACAACGTCGGTAAAATACTTATGGGCCGAAGGTCGCTAAATGTTTCAGGCTTATTTGATTTTGGCAAAGGCTTGATTAAGGAATACTTCCAGCTATCAGGAAAGTAACCAACTTCTAAACAGCAATTTACAATGTGCGTTATGTAAGGAGCACAGACTGAAATAGAAAGTTGTAACATTTTTGCTGAGATGTTATCAATTCCTAATGCGTTTGATTTTAATTCCAAAACTATTGACCTAATTTCATTTACTGTTGCAAGTTTAAAAGAGAAATTAATACCAGGATTAAATAGATTTGAGTTATAATAAGATGTAGTGTAAGGACAACAATTTCTCTGACTGAATACCGACGTAAAATACTTGTTTATATCAGTAGGGTCACTTAAGCCATCAGGAATATGGAATGTAGTTTTATTTGAAATATTCAAGGATTTCATTGCTTTCCAAAGGTCTTTTTTGTTTTGCATGCTTGCACGATAATTTAAATAAGCTGATTTTTCTTTCCTAATTGCACTAGTAACGATATTCCGCATTTCTTTGTAATGAATGAAGTCTAATATATTTTGGGATCTTTTATATTTAGAAAGTGCTTTATCTCGTGTTTTCATCATGTCCCGGATTGTAGGTGTCAACCAATGAGCATACGGTTTAGTAATTTTGGCTTCTACATAAGGAGCATGGTTGTCAAATAATATTGTGATTAGGTTGTTAAAAATCTGTATTTTCTTTTCAATATTATTTTCATAAATAATATTTAGCCACGGCGCACTCACTAGGTCTGCGTTGAAAGCGTTGATTGAGAAATATTTATAACATCTATACGTTTTTAATATGGGAATCTTAAAACTAACGTTTAAGTCAATGTCGCAGTAAACAGCACGATGATCTGATAATTGATGATCAATGACTCCTGAATTTAAAACTAAATCTGTCCTATTTGTGAAAATTACATCTAATAGTGTCTGAGAAGTCGTAGTTATACGAGTGGGCTCTGATATTAACTGTGAAAAATTATAAGATTCCATGCAATGATTTATTTGGTTATCAACCAACTGGTTTATGTTTATGTCGCCCGTAATAATAATATGATCAGACTGAGGTAATATATATGATAAAATATTATCAAAATATCCAATAAAGTTTGTAATATTGCAAGTTTCCGTTCGGTAAATAACTCCAATCAAAACCGATGACCTTCCAATTTCTACGGTTATCCAAAGATGCTCAATGCCCTGTACTGGATTGAAATCACCGATGGTTACTGAAGTTTTTAATGTATCACGGACAAAAAATCCTAAACCCCCTCCTCGCGAGCCACGATCATTTCGAAATATCTTGTACCCAGGTATATAAATAGCATGATCTGGAATATCATAAACTAATCACGTTTCTGTCATGCACACTATGTCAATTTTATTTAATGTAACTATATCAACAAACATATCAAACTTAGGGAATAAAGAACGCGTATTAAAATGTACTAACTTTAACTTTTTATTTACAAAACTAGCCATAATCAGTCCTAGATTTAAGATTATCTATTCTGTTTAATAAGTAACTACAGTTAGGGCTGTTTGTGGAATGATCAGTGCTAACGTTTAACTTAAACCTAGAATTAAATAATTTACAATTGTTACAACACAACGATTCAGATGTACAAGCATTTTTTTCGTGAGGACCGGAGCATTTGGGACATGTAATTTCACTGTGACAGTCTGTTTTGTGATGACCAAATTTGCAACATTTAAAACATTTCGTTAAGCTAAAGTGTTCTTTAACATAACATTTAACCCAGCCTACATAAAGAAAACCTTTGTTAGTGATATCATGAAAGAGTTCAGCTGAAGTCTCTAGTACCACATTAAAGACATCCTTATACTTCATTTTGGTGATAATTTTTAAATCATTTGTAGTCACATTTAGTTGATTGGCTTTTATAATTTCATTTATTAAATTTGGTTGCTCCACAGATGATGAACTTACATTATGAATCATAAGTCTTGGCTTAAACTTCTTTGGTTCAGTAACGGTGTATGCTTTTCCTACTTTAGAGTTAATACATTTTTTCAAATTATCTAGAGATGCAGAATCACTACAATTTATAAGAATACCATTCTTGATAAGCTTTGTCCCTACCACATTTGCATTTGCAGCACGAGGATTCACCTTGGATTTAATATCTGCTTCCACCTGTATATTTTTAATATTTTGGTTCATTGACCTGACCAATAACACCGAATCGGAATTTACCTTTATTTTGGCAGCAGCTGAGTAACTTTTTATATTCTTATCACTTTGTGGCAAAAAAGAACTGGTTTGTGATAATGAAGTAGCACTTACAGGAACTTTTGATTTTAGGATGGCATTTAAATATTCTAGTTCATTTACATACTTTTCTAATATTTGTTTTTCTCTAGTCAAACATTCAATTTCTTTATTTAATAGCATTGTATCGCTGTTGGACTCACATTTTCCTTTAGATTTCAATTCACAATTATATTCCTCAAGACACTTTCGGCAACGGAAACAGTTTTTATCAAAATCAACAACTCTTAAAATCGCATCTGCACACTTTATATGAATTGTAATATCGCACTTTGGATTTATGCATTTAATATCATTTGTTGAAACTAATTTTCCACAATAACGACACTTTTTATCAGGAGGATCTGAATTGCCTGCCATCATGACCTACCTCCGTTCAGTCGCACGCTAATATAGGTGCCCCCCTTGAGCTAACGAACAGTTTCAGTTCACCAGTTGGTTACCTTATTAAAAAATCATGGTCTACAAGCAAAGGGCATTAGGTCAAAAACAGACATACGAGTTATAAGTAATTTAAAGTTTCAAGAAAGTTCTATTTTTTTATAAATTATTTAGGGATTATCAACTGCTTCGAAGAAAATGTACATGCTTTCGAAATTCAATGCACTGTTTTTACATGGTATACAAAAATATAAACCCATTTTCATAAACTTTTGACTTAGTGCCTTTTGCTTCTAAGCCCACGAAATGACTATCTAGGTTTACATAAAAGATAATGCGTCCCTGGATATTTCTAAAATTATGAAGGTATCTAAGTGAGGTAGGTTACTGCCCAAATATTATTTTTACATGAGCAGGCCTAAGAGGTAAAGGGGCTAAATATTTTAACATCGGCAGTCATAAGGGGTCAACGATTAGTAATATTGTTACATGGACAGGCGTAACTGGTAAAAAAGCTACTAATTTTAATATTTTTATACAAGCAGGCTTAAGAGACAAAGTCTCCATATATTTGTAGATGCACATGCTCAAGTGGCACAGATTGTTTGAAGTTCAAACAATTTACAAACCCTTATCCAAATATGACATGGAATATTTCTTAAAAACCAGGCTAGCAATGTGAAGAACTCTTACGAGGTTTGGTCTATGTCGGTAACATCAATACTTCACAAACCTAAAAGTTCAACGGCTTAATTTTTCTCATCGTCTTTTGTTCTTTAGTTAAAAATCAAATTTTTATTCTACAAGTTTGTCCGTGGAGCCGCAGACTAGATAAGGTGCTCTTGTTTTCATCTATAGGATGGTCATAACCGTCTAAGCCCAGAGTTGGGACGTTTACTTTTGTGATGAAACAATGTAGACGTTGCGGAATTGTTGAAGTATTTCCAGTATGTTAACGTAAACGTGAACGTCAACGTCAACGCAGAAATATAATGTTTACGTTGAAGTCCAAAATCTGAGTTGAATATTTAAATACGCATGCGTAGATGTCAATTTTCACGTATACGTTTACGTTCATAGCATTATTTCAACTCTCTATTATAGCGCTACTTTGTTACGTTATTCAACGTTACTGGAAGTTCCCAAAAATGATGTCTTTTTAACAAACCAGATGTGACATTCCTCTTATATCCAAGAAAGTCTTTTTACTTCTTATAGATGTTATTATAAAGCCAATAAAATAAAATCATATTAATGAACTAAATGTGACGTGTAGACCTTTTTATTTTTATCTAAATTTTGTATGGACTATAAATATTTTATAAATTTCATCTATATAAAACGGAATAGAAATAAACTTGAAGTTAAAAGATTAGAAGACAAGTTAAACTTATATTCTAATCCCAGCAAATTTTCCAGAAAAAGTATGATAATACAATGGTCTAAATCATTATCAAAGGTAACAGTAAGAACTTTGTTGAAATACTTAACACTGAGCATCAGATTCTTCTATAATACAGTACTATCGGTTACGTAAGTAGCAAGCGATCAATGGTATATCCATCTATGAACGCGGGACGAACTGTTAGGTCTGCCAGGTCTGCGATTTAAATACTAAAGATAGCCATCTTAAAGATGTTTAACTTGTACACATTACTGTGCTGACCTGAATGCGATATTATTGTGAGTTATACAAATTAACATCGTATAAATGTTTGTCACAGGAAGTAACTAAAAAGAGGTACAAAAGATGTTTATGTAACTGCTAATTGAAATATTCCAGCGTACATACAATTTCATTTGTAGATATATGCCAGGAATGTTAATGAATATGATGTTAAAATTTAAACATCTATGGGATATTTCAGCAATGTTTTAAAAATATATCAATTAAAGTATTTATGAGAAACGTTACAAAAAAGACTGGTAATATTTCGTGTTTAGTGGGTGGGGACCACCAATTTAAAGAATTTCGCATTATTTTTATTTAAAAAAAATCTACAATCTAAATTATTACTTTTCAGTCAAATCGAATCACCTGATAAATCCAAAGAAATTAGAGTCTAAAGAATCTGTAATATACATCAGCACAACATACAAACCTGATTCAGTAGACCATGAGAACATTCCCACCGTAGATTTGACTAACAGCAACGAAAAATTGAAATTTAGAGAACAGCATGTAAATTCGAAACAGCTGAAAACTATTTTCTTTCCGAAGAGGAACTTTGAACGGGACAATAGTTTAAAGAAAACACTGGCTACGACGTCACTCATAAATTTGCCAATCATTAAGAAGTTTGTACCAAAAAGGCTTCACAGTACGACTGTCATCGAGAAGTATTATACGAAACTGTCGATTTTAGATATCCCTTCGCAATTTTTGAGCTGGGAAGACTTGAATTATCATGATACGAACATTTTGAAAAAATGCGAATTAACTGATAGTGATCACGAGATGATCCATTGGATTTTAGAACGCGAAAATGAAAATTTCGAATTAGATTTCACATTGACATCAACGTCCAGTTCCGGATATAATTCGTCTTTGAATACCGAAATGTCACTGGAACAGATGTTAAACGTCTATGACATTTCTTCAAAGGATTATATCTGACCATTAGTTTGACTGATTGTTGCTCTTATCTTTTAAAGTTATTTTAGAGATTTAATAAAAATTAAAAGTAAATTAGACATATTACTTTTTCGCCGTTAGATATATTTAAGAGGATTGGAAAGGTTAATGTTCAAATTGCGGGCTTAATACACACCAAAAAAAAAATATTTTTTTGTATCCGAGCTTATTATTCATCGTAGATTGGCACATAACTATTTTTTATAAACGTAAAAAAAATAAAATGAAAAAATATAAAAAAATTCATATACGTATATATGATATCACCGGCCATTCTTCATGTGCCACTGAACAACTTGTGAATTTACCATTTTTGAAAAAAGTAAGTACCTAGTTTTTTTTTTAAATTGAACATTGCTTAAAAATCACCGGGAGGTGCTGCCCCTAACGGTCCTCTTTTACGTTTAAATACATAATTTTTTTATTTTCTATGCCAGATAGGAAATGTTAATTTTCAAATTGGGGGCTTAAAATTCACCAAAAAAAATTTTTCTTTTGTATCCGACCTTCTTATACATCGTAGATTGGCACATAATAACCTTTTTTATAAACAAAAAAAATATAAAAAATGCCATAATCGTAAAGTTTTCATCCGTCATTCTTCATTTGCCACTGAACAACTTGTGAATTTACCATTTTTCAAAAAAAGTTAGTATTTTTTCTAAAATTAAACATTGCTTAAAAATTTCAGAGGGCACCGAGAGGTGCTGCCCCCAACGGTTCTCTTTTACGTTTGAATACCATGATAATCAATATTTTCTATGCTAGATGGCGCACCAGTCGCGAAATGTATGTTCAGTTGCCTAAACCAATAAATATCTATTTATAGAACGGCAAACAACACGATACCACAGTTTATAGCTAAAGAATCAGTTCGCTCACTCTGCGTCGGCACTTTTGCCAATGTTCCAGTTTTTACACTGCGAAACTCAGATTTGTATCCCTGGCACATACAGAATCAGTTCATAACCAGTACAATACATGACAACGGCCTATATTCAAACACCATTCTTCTGCGCATCCTGAATTTGTATCCCTGGAGTGGATATTATTTTGGAACATCCAATTGGTCCGAGTGAGCGAACTGATTCTTTTAAGCTATAAACTGTGACGATACACAGACTAACGGTATGTTCCTGCGCATGCAGCTGACTGACGGTGACGTCACGTGGGACATAATTTTTAGTATTAAATGGAAGATAGTGTTTGAAATTCGATATTTCACCGGTTTTAGATTTTATGCTGTTACTTAAGCTTTATTGGTTATTTTGTAATATATTCGTTTACAAATATGAAAGTTTAAGGTAAATAATACTAATAAAAATATTAATTTTTTTCATAAAGAGACCGTTGTATTGGGACGGGGAACTACTGATTTATCTGCTAAAATTTTAAAATACCTATTTTCTTTGCTTAATGAGGCCCGTGCACCTGGTGGAATTCAGTTTCCTTTTCTTGCGTTTATATTATTTAATAGGATTCTCACAACTACTTTCCTCAAAATGGCTAGGGCAACTTCATGCTAAAATAAAAAGTATTTATATTTTTTTTATTTTAGCAACTTTTCACTGTCTGTAAACCTATTGCACTTGTGCATTTTACTAACCATTATTATTTAAATTAAGTTTGCCCTTTCTTCGATAAGAATTTACCCACATTTTGTGGAATTCGAAAATATCTTACATTACACTATTTTTGGATTTCGCATTATGGTTTTTGCAAGTCTCCACCGCGCAGCCCGGCAATTTAAATATTAATTCAGTTCTTCCCTATTATATATAGGAA